GTGTGTTGAAATTCAATATTTGGAAAGTGTATGAGACTTGTGTCTTATGCAGGGAAATTTTGCAAATTTGTCAGTGTTTTTCTTTAATTTCTATTTCCTTTTTCCTTTCTTGCAAATTTGTTTTTTAAATAGATAGTAATGCTTTTAACAATGTTGATATATTGATAATGATGTTAAATGTGTGATTCGCCTTTTCTGAGATGTATTATACACAGATGTGTGTTTATTTTCACAGAGATGATGATTGAAAAGAATATGATCATTTATAAAAGTTATTTTCATTGTTTGATAAAATAATTGAATGTATTTTATTTAATGATGCTGTTTGCTTAGAGCAGAGCTGAGATGAATGCTCTGTGATCTCAGCATCAGACAATGGCTGAGTCTATAGAGATGCAGATTTTGAAGACAGTGATTGTGTCTGATTCTTTCAGAGCAGAGATGTTAAAGAAAGAGAAGAATGTGAAAAAGAATATAAGAGTTTTGAGAGTGTTGAGCTCTAAGAGCTCTGTGATAAAAAGGTAAATTGAAGAGGAGATGACTGAAAAGAAGTTGATGAAAGAGGAGTTAATGAGAGAGAAGCTGACTGAAGAGTCAATGAAGAAGGTTGTGAAGATGCTGATGATTGCAGTGTTATTGATGTTTATGAAGCAGAGGAAGTGAGTGCTCTGAATAGTAAAGAAGTGGGAGAAGAAGATGAGAGAAAATGCTTTTGTTAAATGAATATATCAAAGAATGAATAGATTGATGAGAAAAAGAAGAAGTGAGAAGATAAATGTTTTATAAAATAGACATTTATTTATACCTTTACACTCAAAATAAATGCCAGTAATTTACAAATATCAGAAGAAGTATTGAGTGAGAGTGGTGAAAAAGAGAGATGAGAGAAATGATGTGAGGGGTGATGACAGTGTGAAGAGTGAATAGTAGAAAATAGTATATAGTGTAGTGGAAAATAATAATAATAATAATTATAGTAGTAATAATAGTAATGTAGCTAATCGCTAAGAAGGAAAAGAAAGAGAAAGAAGATATGCAAAATACATACATTCATATATATATATATATATATATAGAAATAGCAGTAGTGAGAGTATAATGGAAAGAGGCAAGAATAAATGAAGATATAAACAAAGATGATATAATAATAAGAAAATAATAAATGAGTGCATTACAATTGCCTCTCTTTTTTGTAAGAGCTGCTCTCAATGATTTATTAGAGCTACTCTTAATGATTTGTATAGAGTGCTTCACATTTCTTAGATAGCTTGTAAACATATTGTTATCAATTTCTTAATGAGATAGAATTGACGGGTTCTTTGATTGTTAGAGATTGTGTGTAGAGAAGCAAAAAGAATTTCTTTTTCTTTGAAAATTTCTCTTTTTTTTTAATTTGATCATTATTAAAATTTCTAACTTTTTAAAGTTTCTAACTCTTCTGCTGCAATTTTTCATCTCTAATTCAATAAAAAAAATTTTTTTTTTTTTAAATTTTCCATTCTCCCTACCCTCTTCTTTTGTTGAAATGAGCTCTCTGGCATGGAAATTTAAAATATGTGAATTCAAAACTTATAAAAAAAACAACATTATATTCGAGTTAACTTCTTAGCTTTTAAAATAAAAAAATGTGAATTTGTCAAGTAAATATTTTCAGATAAATCTACTATCTGATTTAACTTATTGTTTCTGAGTTGAAAATCTGTATCATAAATATCAAATCCTGTCTTTCATTAATTTTTCTATATATTTGTTATATTCTTAACATCATTCAACACTAAGCATTTCTTCTGTATAACCAACTCTTGCCTGTATTTAACATTACACAAGGACTCGTCATAAGCACTGCTTGCATACGAGTATAACGGAAGAATAATAATAATAATAATCTTACTTATAATAAGAGGAGGAGTTTCAAAATTTATATAATGCTGCTTGAGCATCTGATTCACAGCAGCTTTAATATACTTGATTGTGAGTGAGCAAAAATTAACATTTATTTGATGAATTCACATCTTAATAGCCTCCTCCTGGCTGTCATTCAATGCTCAATTGAGTGGAAACCTCATAGTTCTCAATTTCTTGCCATTAAGTTTTTTATACAAAATAGCATATGAAACTTTGAATTCTCACAACAAAGATGTGATTTTTAATATTGAATTCTTTTTAAATATGTCAATGGCATTTTGCAATTGCTCTTCAGCGTAATGGAAG